CAAAGGATGGCCCAAGAATACGATTTGTGATTTTTTCATCTTTTTGTGAAACGACGAGAATCAGAGAAAGGACCCTCCAGTGTGGAAAGGGGGAAAAATCAATCACTCCCCTATCACGCCCTCAGGGAAACGGGCCCTGGCGCCCAGAAACACCGAAGTCGTTGAACTGCTCCCACATGGGTCTGACGTCGCTCGTGCTCGCCGCCGAGTCGTCGCCGACGTACGGCTGCCAGGCATTGGCGTCGCGCGGCAGGTGGGACGCCGATGCTGAGAACGGGCCTAGTAGGCTTTTGCGGATGCGCAGCGGCGCGGGCGAGAGGGCGGCGCGTTCGCGCTCTTCCTCGACGAGGGCTTCGTAGTCGACTGCGTAGTTTGACCCAAAGGTCTCGGGTGCCACGCTCACAGGCCGTCTCCGAGGCGGGATTGGGATCGCGGGAACCGTCGGGATCATGAGGGACAGCACCTCACGTCGACGGTCCCGGATCGGGATCGGACTGAGGATGGGTGGTGAGCTTTCTTCGTTTGACGCGGATGCAGTAGTTGCCAATGCAGTCTTCGGGCTCGTTGGGGGGGCCGACGATGCTGCGGTGTCGATGGAGCCACCGTTGCTGTCGGCGGTCGACTCGACACTGCTCTTCGACGACGTCGACAGGGCTCTAGCTGCTGTGGAACCTTGAGGAATCATCAGGATTGGCGATGGTGTCTTGACCATGGCGTTCATGTTGACCGAGTTGGTACCGTTGCCATAGCCATGGACCACAATCTCGTGATACGACGACTTCCTGGGAGTCGGGTCTGTTGGTTCCGCCGGGCCGTGGAAGCCTTTGAAGATGCTCATGGACCGGCGAAGAGTGCTGTTCCGCGAAATGCTCTTGCCAATACTCAGGGCGCGAGGAGGCGTGCTCTTGACACGAGAGATCATTGACCTCCTGTTCTCCTTTTTCTCTTCGTCGCGGTGAATGGTGAAGTAGTCGATATCCGGCTCGATCTTGAACTCGGTCGGCGTCGCCATTGCACTCGGACTGCACATTGAAACTGCGGAGGACGAGGTAGCACTGGTGCTGTTGGATCGGTAGCCGAGGACTCCATCTTCCTCGTTCCAAGAAGGGAGGTAATCCGTGGACACGGCCAGGTTGTAGTCCGCATCAATGTCGTTGACCTCCTCGGGAACGTCGGTGCAGTTGCGGAGCACCTGGTAAATGGCGTATACCAGAATCCATCGCACCTTTCGCACGTCTACCAGGCTGATCTTTTCGTTGCGGTCTACCTTGGTGAGAGGCGCCACGGACTGCTCCTCGAACTTGCGGTAGGCGCGCACGAGATCGTTCCGCATCATGTCGACTTTGCCGAGGTTCGAAGCCTTGACCTGGGCGGCATGTAGGACAAGTCGATTATCGGGCTTGAGCTTATCACTACGTGACAACCATGGGATCCTCCGGCTGGTGGGCGTTGTCGGAACTTCAGGAAGCAGCGGCAGGGGGTGGTCGAGAGACTTGAAATCGTAGCGTGCATCGAAGGCGTGGACACTCTGAACCGCGCAGATGCCGCCCTGAGCAAGGAGCGGGATGCTTCCGGCTGAAGTAAAGTTGTCGTTTACAAGCAGTTCGTATAGCGCCTCAAAATCGTCGCACATGATGCGATAAATCTCGGGTTCAAATGCTGAGCTCCGGCCATCGGCCGGCGTTGGCGGATAGTACCCAAGCTTGGTGCTGTAAAAAGAGAGAAGGAAAGAGCGGAATCGCTCCATGTGAGCTCGACCTCCAGCTGGGAGGCCTAGATGAGTTTCGGAAAGCTCGTCTTCGAGAAAGGTACGCAGCATCGAGCTGGCTTTGTTGAGTCTGGCGTCCATGTCGGCTTTTGCTCGTCGGATAGACCGCCTTGTTGGTGAACTGACAAGCTGTGGGGGAGTCAGTATTTGACTTGCAATACACGCCGAGTGCTCAGGGTCGAACATACCTGCCACTCCGGGGTCGAGGGCAAACGGTCACTCATTCCAACGCAGTGGCAGAACGCATCAGTGAAAATGTCTCTGATCTGAAATGTCTCAGCCATTCTCAGCAGAGCGAGTGCGTGGATGGGCTGGTTGCGTATGTCAAGATATCCTTCTTCGTCCAGATAATCCAGAAGGTCACCGACATGATCTTCATCATCGTTCCTGAATTCAGACATGCTGCTCAACAGGTTGATTAGGGCGGTGCCCAAGTGATCCCCGACAACCGAACGATTGAAAACCCAAGCGATTAGGTTGCGGGTTGCCAAATGGTAGAGGAATGCGTCCTGCTTATTGGCCATAGGCGGCGCTGGAATGTAGAGATCGACTTTCCGGGTAGGGTTCAGATAATGCCATTGATCAAGGTCATCGTACGGGTCAAAGAGAGATCCGGGCGACTCGGGCATTTCACGCGATATAAATCTCTGGATCAACGGGTGGCATTTGGCAGACAGCAAGCCACCAAACGGCACCTTGAATGCTGGGCCGCGTCGAGACTGGCCCTTTCCATAGAGGTGAACGAAGCAATTTCCACCTCGAAACCACAGTTCGGGATCCTAATATTCGTTTGATCAGTTTGGGACATTTCGCAGCTGCGTGGTTGATTCTGGAATCATGGTTCACTTACACGTCGGAGGCTATCCCAATCAGCGCATGCCCGTGCAGCGCCATCCCACCGCTTGACGTTGCTGCTTCTAGGCAGACGTTCATCCATGGCATCCCCAGTTCTCGTCGTTCGGTATGTTTTGTTGGCCATGCAATATGGAGGTAGTGAAAACCGGTACTCAGGAGGAGGGTCCATCTCGACAAGAGTCGCCTGGCTTGGTGCAGGTGCTGCCGGCTCTATAATGGAATCAAGCACGTAGCTACGTAGGGGAGTGGCCGACTGGGTGCCAGGGTGAGCTGGCAAGGTGTGGGTGGTAAGCTGAGGCGTAGTCCAGATTCCACGGGCAAGGAGCGGTCCGAAAGCGCGCAGCCCGAATGTCTGCTCGTTTTGATCGCCGAAAGCCAATGACGATGTGCGTGAGTATGCAAGGCCCCCTGTGGAGATCTGCGTAAATATTGCGTGCGGCTGTGTTTCGTGGTGGTCAGATCAATACGGCGTTCGTGTACATGGCTGGCTGCAGGACAACTTCGGAACGCTGTATCGGCATTTCCAGTACGCCAGGTTTTTGGTTACAAGCGTCTCCTTTCAGTCACAGAAAAAAGATTCACAAGCCGACGCGAGCAAGTGGCAGAGGGTTGATTATATGCCATGGCTATTGAGATCATCCTGACCACAAGTGTCAGATAGCTGCAGGCCATGTGAGACTAGCAGCATATGTTTGTCTAGGCTGAGGAGCAGACGCGAGGGAACGTGCTGCGATGGCGTCAAGCCAAGTCTAGCCCGGACCAGAGTGGTATCAACTAGTGGTTGTTGGCCCTCCGAGCGGGAGCATCTTTGCTGGGTAGTGACCAGCTGGAAGCTAGGCGTTGCCGCAACCGTGCGTTTGCTGCTTTTGCTGCAGCTGCTCTACTGTTGTTGCACTCGCAGACCGCAAACGGTCTCAGTTGCTAAATATCCTGAACAGCTCCGATATGCGGGTGAGCTGCATTGTTCCCAGGCTGAGTTTGAAGCCACAGGAGAGCGGTGTGTGTGTGTCTTGTTCACCAGTGTCAGATCATGGTGATCGAGGACTGGTGGGTGCTCAGCAATGCTTATGCCGTGGGACGAAATTGGTTGATGTCATCCAAATCACATTGGTGACCTTTCACTTTCAAGCCTACAGGTCCCGAATATTAGGGATCGCCAAAGCTAGGCATCGGAACCGAGCTGGCAGCGAAGCGATCCCAGGCCAGGGTCCAGATCTCATTCGCCAGAGGGCACAACAAGGTTGGCCGAAGCGAATCCAGGGTGCAAGATCAACACTTGGAGCAGCTTGTTAGCGCCGCCGGATGTCGACATTCCAGCTGTCTTGGCAGCTGGGCAGATAGATTTGGGGAAGAACCCCACTGGAGCTTGACCATGATGAGCATTACATGCTGAAGGCCACTTTTGAAACCCGACACGCCAGTATATCTTTCCTCTTTCATTGTCCCAGCGCGGAGCACTGTTGCGAGGCCATCGCAAGCCATGGAAATAAGACGTCATCGCCGAGCTTGATGTCAACCTTCAGTGGATGTTCCTCATCTTGGCAAGTATCCCCGCACACGCTATGGATAGATCTCCGGGTCTGAGAGTTCCCGCATGCCCACTGGTCGACGGAGGCCAGCGCTCCCGGACTCGACCATCGTCTTGTGTTACGCCTTACGCAACGAAGCAGGCATGAGATGTAGACGAGCAACTTAGAGTGTGTGTGCGTGGACGTGGCAAGCATCCCGCTGCCAGAAAAGGGACGATTAGGGG